CGCCTGGCGCAGGTCCACGTGGTGCTGCCCGGACTGAATCGCGTTCGCGTAGTTCGCCAGCATCGTCGTCTTCGCCGGGAAGCCCCGGCCGGCGGCGGGGCCGTCCTTCGCCTCGTCCGAGCGAAGGCACACCAAAAGGCGGCTCGGCGGAGGCGGCCCGGAGTCGTGGCGGTCCTGCGAGTCCGTGGAGGTCGCCGCGCGGGCGGATGGCTCGGATTCCCCCAAGGACCCCGAGCTCGGGGTGCGGTTTACGGCGGGGTGGTGCGGCGAGTTCTGTAACACGACGCGCTCGGCAATGCTGGTGACGTCCAGGCGATCTAGCGAAGGGACCGACAGCTCGACCCCACTCGAGGTGGTTAGCCGTCGCTTGTGGGCTTCCTGGGCGACCATGCTATCGCCCGCCAGGCCCCCATCACACAGAAGGTGCCAGAAGCTGTTGAGGGTCATGATTCGTTTATCGTCGACTTTCAGGTGGACATCGGGGTCGTCACCATCCCATGTGTCCTCGACAGGGCCTTGGGCCATGCCGTCGTAGACGGCAAGATCGCCTTCGAGGTCCTCGGTGGCGCACGAGTACAGCTTGAAGAGAACCCAGAGATCAATGAAGAAGCCTTTGACGATGTTGAGAAAGTGTATGTAGGACTGCAGGGCCCGCTCCGATGAGTTCTTTTTCTGCGCCGAGGACACTCGCGCGATCAAAAGCGCCGCGTTCCTGCTTTCCGAACGTACCGGCACGACGGGCTGTTGAAAAATGTACGCGAGTTTGGCAAAGGAGAGGGTTTGCATGAGTTTCGTCGCCATCTCTTGATGTTCCAAGGGGACTGCCTCGATTGCCGCGGTGGTCCGACGGCTATAACACTTCACGGTAGAGCGAAGTTTCACCTGCTTTTGCCCTTTTATGAGGCTTCCTTGGTCACGGCTTCCCAGCTCGGTGATCGAAAAGTTCTTGCTCATGACCAGATCCACCGCCACGTGCAGGGCGCTGAAGGAGAAGGAAATCCACCGCTGCTGCCGGAGGATGCGGCTAAACCAGGTGAGATGCGTCGAAAGCGGGTGCTTCCACTCCTGGTACCTCCAGTGATGACGCCCCTCGTTCATGATGCGCGAGGACGACATCATCTCCACCGCGTCGAGGCTCGCGCGGTAGAACGCCATGCTCCGGTGGTTCGCCGCGATGCTGTTTTGCGACGTCTTGGGGGCCCACCAGTTCGTATAATACCGAAGCAGCCCTGCCAAAAGCACCAGAAGCGCACGCCGGTCGCGCTGGAGCAGCTGCTCCAGGCTGACCACGCAGGTCGTGTTGGTCATGCGCTCGTAGGTGCTGATCACAATCGAGCACGTCGTCTTCGCCAACGTGCAGAGCTCCGGGGAGAGGAGCGCCATCAGCGTCCCCTCGTTCTCGAACGACTTCCAACTCATGCTTTGTGTCGTATTAAGGCCTTGTTCGCCTGGGGATTCGCCGGCCTTCCCGGTTTCGTCCTCCTTGACATTCTTCCGGTCCGCGCAGCCGAGTTTGGCTTTGAGCGCCGCCACCACCGTGGCGTCGGCTTCCCTTACTTGAACCTCCAGACTAATTTCCTCGGAGATATCGTGCGCGGAGGAAGGATGCGGCGAGGGCTCGCGCGCCTCGCTGCCTTGAATGGGGTCCGAGGTCATCCCAGGGATCATAATCGTGCTCATCGAGTCGATCTCCCCACACGAGGGCGTGACCCGTTCCCGCGAGGATAGCGGCATCGACGTCCGCGGCTGCGGCGGCGCGAAGCAAACCCGCATCAGGCGCATGATCTTATCGTAGGTGATGAGGGATACGGGGGGAACGGAGGGCGCGGTCGAGGCGGCGCCCTCCCCCTCGGGTTTGGCCTCCCCCGCGGCGCCGTTCTTGGCGCGGCTGACGTAGTCGTCCAGGAGGGGGTGGCAGTACAGCAGGTCATCGAACATGCCCGGGGTCGCCTTGCCGAATCGGTTCCAGAACTTGTTTTGCGGATCCCGAATCGAGGAGAGGGTGGAGATTTTGCGCAGCACCATCTCCTCATCCTCGATTTTGAGATCACCATCCTCGCTGACGAAGATCGAGGTGAGGTTTTTTTCGCCCCCGCCTTCGCCATAGTCGTCCGCGAACTTGCCGCTGTCCCCCATCATCACCATCGCGTTCGCCCACTGGACGAGGTGGATCATCATCTGCAGCGGGGTCGCGTCGGCGTCCGGGCAGGTCGCCTCCAGCGCGGGCGAGGCGCTGCGGAGGTTGTCCTCGATGAGCATCGTCCCGATCCGATCCATCTCGTTGACCTGCTCCATGCGCTCCTTGTACTGGTTCTCCAGCTCGGAGAGGTCGGCCTCCATCTTCTGTCGGTGCTTCTCGCTCTCCAGCATCGACCCGCTGAGGCAGCGGCTCAGCGTGCGCAGGAACTCGACCTCCGCCTGCAGCCGCTCGATGGCCTCGCGCTTCTCGATGATGACGGCCTTCGTCGTGTTCTCGGTCTCCGAGCGGCGGAGCGCGTAGACCGCGAAGCTGCGCCAGTTTCGAATGCAAAACCGCAGCTGCTCGCCCGAGAGCCGCTTCATCCATCGGGCGCGGTGCTGGCGGAGGCAGCGCTGCTGCCGCTGCACGGTGGCATGCCAGGCCTGCATGACGATCCGCAGCATCGACTTCGCCCAGCTCTTGTTCGCCATGTGGAGGAGCGGGATGAGCTTCTGCGTGAAGTGGATCTGCTGGTGGCGGACCTTGTGCGAGGCCAGCACGACGCACCGCGAGAGCGCGCGCAGGGCGTCGGCGTAGGCCACCTGCTCCTCCTTCGCCCGCAGCGCGCGGGCGATCCGGGCGGCGGCGGCGTCG